AAAAAACCCAACCACAAAACCAAAACTCATCACCTTCACGYAAGTCTGAAACCTGCTGAGTTCATGGCCTACAACAGTTTTAAAATAACAAACCACAATACCACCAACAGAAAGTTTTGCATTAAAAAGAAAAGGCCATAAGRAAGGGTTACTTTCTATGAAAGCTAAATAAATCCTGTTATTTCGAATTCACATMGCATCAGAATCCAGCTCACTGGCAGAGTGAGGTGTGTGTGTGATACAGGCAGCACTTAATGTGTATGTGCTTTACTGAACACACAAATAAAATTTGCAAGACCTAGCATAGAAACTTTTTTTTCTGGAATGAAGWCTTAAATATCTGGCTGATCTCTCTCTTTGGAGATAGAGAATTAGAGTGCATAAAAAAGCCCTATTAGATATCCAGAGTACATTAGTACATACATTACCTTTCAATGCAAGCAAAAAGGAACACAAATGTGAAACACAAGGAAAAACAGAAAGCATGAAACAACATAAGGTGAGCCATAAACTATGTACTCATCTTCTAATAAAGGAAAAAAAACACATGGAYAGTCAAGATATTATGTTCAAAAGTCCACTGAAATAAAGAAAAAAAAATAAGACTCCTTTAATTAGTGTATCCTATTTCCATAAATATTTTTCAATTTTCAAAACAAACTGTAGATTAATAAATTATTTGGCAGCTTCATGTAGCTTTTTTTCTAAAAGATATTACTTTTATGGACTTTCTGGAAAAAGATTTGAGTGTCTTATAAGCTCAGACATCATGGGATTGTTTCAAACTTCGTGCTTTTTTCCTTCAATTTACATCTTAAGGCATATATTAATGTGGCACATGAACACCTCACTTTCAGTTACACTTCATAWTACTTATTTTTATATTTCTTCTTCAAAAGTAGTGTTTCTGCTTGGTCAATAGACAAACCACKCAGAGAAAATATGTTCTCTACATGTCAGAAGTAAAACCAAAAGCTTTGAATTTGCTCCTCTTGGAACTTCAGTAACTCACGTTTTGTAAGAGCCAGTTTCCATTTCCATTATTCCTGACTGACCGATAGACTGACAGATGTCTTACTTTAGAGATCCCAAACAGACTATTGGTATCTATTTCAGCCACATCTGTTCCTAAATAGCCTTGGCAACAGGCCACTATGCACTCAGAATTAATTTTAAGTCCTTTATTSCTGACTCTTTCACTGTAGAAATATATCAGTGACTTCTTTTTCCTCATTGCTGCACTTACCTAGAATATCTATAAATCCTTTTTTTAGATGAATATCAAGAGCTATAGTATACTATAGATAAGAATAGTATACTTAAACAATATATTGATTTGTTTTACTTCTTTATGAAAATATATATTCATTTTCTTAATTCATTATGAAATATATATTCAATATTACATTAATCTGTGGATTGCCCCAAGATCTTATTTTCTTTTTAGTTAATTAATTTAGAAATTATGTTCTGCTACCTGTATTTTAAAAGCAAGTTCTTCAAATTACTTCTATTATTATCCAAATAGTTGGTCCAGCCTGCAAGAAGTCACTCAGGGAATAACTTCATTACTATACACACAAAAAATTACTCTTATAAAGTTTTTCATCATGATCAAAAGCCTCCAAACATCACATACTGGTAAAGCACTGAGTAAGTGCCAGTTTTGTTACACTTCCTACCTGACAGAAATCTGCTGAAAAACTGCAATTATTGGTAAACAGCAAACTCTATGGCAATCTCTAAAAACATGCTGGAGGTTTTAAAAAATATCAGAATTAAAGTCTTTATTTAACAACAAAAAAAAAGCCATATTCATAAAGAGGATACAAATGATCTTCTAAGAACTTGTAAAAATCACATATAATATTCAAATCTGTACTTAAGATAGCTTTCTCTGCTACAGTTTTGAAGCAGCACAAAAAATGAGAATCACCAGTTTTCAGGGCAGGATTATTGACAGAGAAGTCTTGCCTTTTTCTTAATTTCCACTGTTATATTTAAAGCCTAGGAATGCCTCATAGAAAGAAGCTAGAGACAAAACTAGAAACTCCTGACTGTGAGCTCTGCTCCTCATTGGGGCACCCCCTGCACTGTCAAAARCGAGCAACCAGCCAGGGGTCAGCAGAGAAAAGGCTCAGCTGAGCTGCACACCCAGGCTGTAGCTACAGCCTCTCCAAGGGGCCTCACACTCGTCCCCATTCCCACCTGACATATTCACTCCCCCCAGGCTTCACACCCACTGGCCTGCCCAAGACTCACTTCTGCCTAAAGCCTTGTTGTAATAAACACACAAAATTCATAATGGGTCATGCCTATTTRAGAGTGAAGAACTTTGCTGGAGAGTGAACAACAAAGGGAGCCATTAAACATCAGCAGCGAGCATGGGTGGCCAAAAGCCTCTTGGAGAAGCTGCAGAAATCCTGGAYAGAGCAAAGAAAGAAGTCCTCCAAYAACCAGGCTGCCTAGAGCCTCACAGAAATGGGGCAATGGGCAGAATAACATCACTGTGACACGACTGGGCCCAGGCACAGCAGATGTCACCTGYTTGGGAGCCTTGAGCTGGAGCTTTGAGTTGTAGTAGAATCTGGAGGAGCCAARGCTGCATGAATACCATGTGTAAAACAAACACCAAAACTGCAGATTTGTGGAGAACAAGCAATGACTGCACAAAGACAGGAATGCATTTGGTGAACTATGGGGGATGGGAGGCCAGGAAAAAGGGAAGACAGCAACTACCTTACAGCTCTCTGGTTTTGACAGACTGTAACAATAGCCATGGAAGAAAGCCCTTTTCCTAAAATAGGAAGAATTACTACACATAAGTCCAAGCAAGAGACATTCAGCACCGCTTGCAAAGCGTGAAGACCTGGCTTGACCTCCTAGAGCCTAAGGCAAGCTACATTATGAAGCTTTTGGGTTGGAGAAAGCATGCATAAGCCAAATCCCAGTGGAAAGACTTGTCCAGAGAGCCCTTAGCCATCTCTGCACACTGCACTGCCATACTTATTCACAAATAAGACCATGACACAGATGGCTTCTCCCAGCACCAGTACAGAGCACCCGGTGTAAGTGCTACTGGAAGCCAAGAATGAGGGAGAGAAAAAATATAAAGGCTCCAGAACCTGTGTTTGACTGCTGCAACTGCAGCCTCTCATAAATGAAACAAAAATGAAACATGAGCTCAATGCTACTTACTATAAAACCAAATTGTCTGAGAAAGAAGTTTCAGCATGTATTTAACGTTYAGTAAAAGCCCAAATCCTGACACAATTGGCAGCAGCTTGTAAATGCTGTTTTCCGTGAGACTCCTGAAGTCCTGCCATCTGCTATAGGTCTGACTTTCAGCATTGCTGAATACTCCATTACTTTTCAGAAACTATGAAAAGTTTCTGATGTCTGTGCGAGTAACCTAAAGATGAAAAAATCTTACACAAAGTAGCAAATTACGGAGATAAATTTTTTTCTAAGAAAACAAACAAACAAGCCAAACAAAACAAACAAACAAACAAAAAAAAACAAACACACACACACAAATCCCAAACCACAGAATATACTCCCCATCTCTGGAAGCATGGAGCAATATATACCAAAATTTATTCTTCATGACTGCACCTTAAAATCCTTCACTGATGACACTTATAAGACAATAATAGGCCCCAGCTCCTGATATATGGCAATTCAATATACATTAAAGGGGGCAGAACATAAAGTGGCATTCATTTTAGAGCTCTAGACACTGAACTAACCAATTAATAAATCACATTACAGACCACATACACAGAGACCTGTAGTTAATTTCAAGTGGGAARGAGGAGAACCTTCAGCACTGAGGCACCTAGACTGGCTCCCCAAGAGCAAGGACTGTGAACCCACACCAGGTGCAGGGGTGATCAGAACTCAGCAGTCCTGCTGAAAAGCAGGTATATGAGTGSAACACTGCATTAACACAGTTACACTGTTCAGAGGAGATGAATCAATAGCAGGGCATGSCATTGTATTTGTTCAGTTTCAGTAGCTCTGGTTTCCCAACATGGTTACATGAAATTAACCATAATGACTTCATCTGTGAGCCTCTGACTATTTCTTTGCTTCTCTCAGTGCTGACTCTATGGCTATGAGATCTTACCTGTATGAACTTTTAAGTTCTGTACAATACACTTCTAAAATAGACCTGGTATTTCAAGCCTGGACAAGCTAACCATGCCATCCCAGAAGGCAAACACACTGCCCCTGGAAACTGCATTCCTGAATACAACTTTGATTTCTCCTTCATGYAAACACTGGGAGGTCGCTGAAATAAACAAGCACCTTTAGGAGTGTGTACGCAGTTTTAAAACTACATATATGTTTACACAGTTTCTAGGAKGAAAAGTATCGATTTGGATATGTTCAAGGAGCATTCCTTTGCTTCTAAAAGTTATGTGTATAGTTTGTTTCACTTGAACTAATCCTTTAACCACACTTTCTCAGCGTGTTACAGTGTGAACACCACAGAGCAAAGACGACCCGCAATGGAAGCCTCATCATAAAACTCAGGCATATCCCGCAGAATCATACTCTCTTCTCTGTGCTCCACTTTATGTACCTGCCAGAGAGTATAAGCTRGGAAAAGATGATGCCGCAGAAACAAAATCAAATCCTCTTACTGCTCTGCCCGGGGCTAAGAAGCCATGAAAACATCCTCTCTACCTTCTGTCCTTTTCGTACGACCCACCGAGAAAGCAAKGCTCTTGCCAGAGAGAGTTGGGTCAGGTACAAGACATTCAAAGCGTTATGAACAACTTCTTTCCACTCAGCAAAGTAACCTCGAAGGRAACGGACATGCCTGCCAGCACAGCCTTTAAGCATTTTACTGTAATCCCTGCTGAGGGTGCCTCCGCCCCGCGCAGCTCGGCGAGCCCCGGCCGCCTGTCCCCTCAGGCCGCGGGAAGCCCAGCACGGCCCGGGCCGCCCGCTCCCGGCTCGGCTGCACCCTGCCCCGCCCTGCCCCGTCCCACCTGTGGGGCTCTCGGGCAGGATGGGGCTCCAGCGGAGCCGCCGGGCGCTCAGCACCACGTCGCAGCTCCTCTTGTCGATCTCGAAGATGCCCCTGAGGAGAGGCTCGTCCCCCGCCCGGGCCGGCGGGGCCGCGGCCAGCGGAGCCACCCTCCGCCGGCGCTCCTGGGGCGGGCGGGGGAGCGGGGCGGCGGCGCCCGGCATGGCGGCAGCACCCCCACAGCGGCCCCGCTGCGCCTCGTCCCGCCGGGATGAGCCCGCCCCGCCCCGCAGGCGGAGCCGCTGCCGCCCGGGGGCCGGCGGGAGGGAGCCCGTCCCGTGCCGGCACCGCCCGCCGGGACACCGGCCATGCCCTCCCCGGCAGAGAGCGGGCCGGCAGAGAGCGGGCCGGCAGAGAGCGGGCCGGCAGAGAGCGGGCCGGCAGAGAGCGGGCCGGCAGAGAGCGGCCCGGCCGTGTCCCTCCCTGGCCGGGCGGCACCGGCCGGAGCCCGTGTGGGTGCGCTCCCCACCGGGAACAGCGGCACGGCCAGCAGGAACTCGGTCACTGCTCCGCGGACGGAACGCTCCCGCTACGGGAATTAATTTTCCTTGTCAGAATCCCACGTCTTCTACTTTTCTGTTACCGATAACAATATTGCTGTTGCTTAGCTTAGAAAACTGCGACRTGAACTTCTAAAAGTCCTTCCATACTAAAAAGGCTCGGTCTTTCACAAGCTGTGACTATGACATTAACATAATGTAAATACCAAGTTGACATTCGTGCTGCAAAACAGATTATTGCCATAAACCGCGGTGGAAGCATCACAGTCATAGCCTTCATTCATAAGGACTGGGCGATGCAGTGACTCGGAGTCTGAAAGTGACTCGTACAAACCCAGATCTTCTGTCAAGTGGGCTGCGGCAGGAGTATCCAGAAGGGTTGCGTAGCTGTCCCTCACCCTCGAAGCTCGAATGCAGGGGAGGAAGGCCACTTCGCTCCTCTATAAATGATAGACTTTACTGTTGGAGGTAGGACAGCTTCACTTACAGGTGCTGTAAGACACTGATGACAATCACGTTAGAACTTCAGGGTCAACTCTCATTTATTAGGTGCTCCTAAGCCTGTAAGGGCAAGACTTGTGTATTTATGAAGTTTTACAATGTCATGGTGGCTTATTAGTGCATGAAAAGGATATTTTTAAACAAGAGGTTCAGTAATTTTATCTTTAATGTTAGAGTGACAAGGAAGGAAAAACTGTGAGCCAAACAAACAAGCTTGCCTTAACATTTATCATTCTGGTACAGCAGTAGATGAACCAATTCAACTTGAGTCTGTTAGCTGGTGTCAGTGATCTTTAATGTGTTTGCACTGATGTCACTCAAAAGGAAATCTAATTAATTAACTAGAAGATAAAGCATAACATGGAGCTAGATGTAGTCAAGTCACTTTTGAGGTTGCATGCCCTGTATAATCCCCTTTGTATTTGTTTCTGGGACAATTTATTCGCCTATACCACCTAGCGTATATCATATATTATCACCAGATAATTTCTCATAAAGTACAGGAAAGGATAAGCTGGTAAGTGGCTTAGAACTAYAAAATAGTACTGATTTCAGCACCGCCAGTGGAAAACTATTGCAGTTCCTAAGAGACTTGTAATATCCTTCAAATTATGTAATTAAAACTTCTAACATACTCTTATAGACACTACTTGAAAAGTCTATTAGATCGGCAACAATGAAGATACCAAATGTATTAGATAAAAAYATAAAATAGTAACAGAAATGTATACAATGACAAAAACCATAAGAAAAACCCACAAGTCTGTGTCACAGATCTTCAAACCCCACAATTCTTTGTAATTCTGAGACAGACACTTCTTCTGGGGGGAAATGTTCTAAGCAATCTACTCTAACAGGCTTTATTTTAGGTATCACAACTTTCAGATTTGCACATTAAATTTGGAAATGCATGGAATAGTCCAGCAATATAATTTTATCAGTTTTTCTACACTACATCTGGAACTCACACACAGAACTCCCTTGTGCTTTCTTTTAAGAAAATGGTTTTGTGTGTTGATGCTCTAAAGTAGTTCTCATATCAGAGAAATAAAAAGATGCAAGACAATCAGTAGGAATTGCAGAGCAGGCATTCGAAGAGCACTGAGCCTACATGTAGCAGTCTTGATTTCTTCTACATCTTTGATCATTTCCAGTTTTGGAGAGGAACATATCAGTACTCGAGATAGCAGAATGATCAAGGGACTTCTAGAAGCACAGTGTGCTGCATGAGTTTAAGGCTGGATTGGATGGAACTCTGAGCAACCTGGAATAGTGAAAGGTAGCCTGGGCATAGCAGGGGTGTTGGTACAAGTCGATCTTTAAGGTCATWTCCAACCCAGTCCATCCTATGATTCAGTACCAATAGCTACAAGAAAACAGAGTAGCCCTGTTCACCACTTAATAAAGAGTAAGCTGAAGAACATTTTTATTATAAACCTTTTGCAACTCTTGAGATCGTTTCCAGAGAGGTTCTGGAACTGCCTTAGAAATGGTCTGAACATTTTTATTTGATTGGATTTTTTTGACAAATACCTCAAGTAAAGTCAGAACAAAAAAGAGGGGAAGGAGACATGCCAGGAAGGGAAGCAAAGCCATTGTCCAGAGCAGCAAGGGCCAGCTGCTCCATAAGAAACAGGGAGCCAAGGAAGATGCCAGGGCTAGCAAGGCAGGGACCTTCCTGGCCAGGACCCACCTGGAAGTACCCAAGCAAGGAAGTCTGGGGAGGGTGACAGAATCCATCCAAAACCCCAGTCATCCACCTATGTTCTAACGTTGAGGCAGATCTGGATCAGCAGGGTTCTGAGCCAGATCAGGGCTGTGGCTGAGCTGAAGAGCAGCATCCTAGAGCATCTGTAAATGAAAAAGTTGTAGTCCTACACTGAGCTCCAGGCYCATTTGTAGGGTCAGTGAGGGGTTGCAGGGTTTTTAAGGCTTAGTAGTGGCCCYATGGCCCTTGCAGCCAGAAGCACAAGAGGAGGAATTCTGAGGAATAGAAGCAGCAGGCTGCTTTATAAAGGAAATGGGGTTTGGAGTTACAAATCAGGCAGGATCCCTATACCTGGCCAAGGTAAACAGAACCGGGTGTAGCTAAGTCCATCAAGAGTCCAGACAGTTAGACAAACCTCTTGTCACCCTGTCAGRTGACAATAGCCAGTGTCAGTGCAAGCCCAGCAGCCACCAGAGAAGCTTATATTATCAAGGTAGATCCAAGTTCAGGCAAGAATGTCAAGTTTGTGGGTCAGGGCCTGGATACGGCACAGACATGACTGCAATAACATGAAGGCAGGCATCATGCAGAGGAGCCTCTTCTAAAACATAGATCTTGCATGAGGGAGGGAAGATCTCCCTTGTGGCTTCTTAGAGTTTGTTCTCAGCAGAATGGACCCAGAGGAGATTTTACTCCAGAGCAGGGTGCTGGCCTTGAGCACAGCCAGATGACTTAGGAGGGGAAAGCCTCCTCTGGGCCAAAAGAAGAGGTAGTAGGAAACAAGGAGAGGAGAKAAGCTCTCCTTAGCTAACAGTTTCTTTCTGGAAATCATCTCTTGCTGTCTAGATGCCAAGAAGTGATGAGACCCTAAGAACTCTTTTCCAGAAGAACTTTGTGAAGAGGTAGGGCAACCGACAGAAATAGTGAGTAAGGGAAGCAGTTAYTGTCTACTGAAGGACAGCAAGAAGGTAAAGCTTGCTACTGGAAAATAAGTCCTCCCACCTCAAGGAAAATRTCTATAAAGATGACATGAGGTAGAAATGAAAAATAGACAAAAAATTGGAAGATCATTTTTTGATCCATGAGCAATGTGATGTTGAAGTTAAGGAACAGGAATTTAGACAAGAAGAGATGAGGGGGATACACTGGGGAAAATATCTTATCCATTCCAGAGGTTTCAACTGAACATTTTTGATAGCTGGCTTGTTTTCAGTAGCTAATGGAGATTTCCTTCTGGTGAAACCTGRATTCTGAGGCTGGCAGCATACCCTTGGCTTGTATGTTTTTCTGGCTACAGTGTGTGTTTATACCATGAGTGTTTAGTGTATGGTCAGTTATACTTCAGCTGTTGATTCACAGATATTAGTTCTCCTAAGTATTGGTCCCTTCTCTCATTTCTTCTTTAGAAAAGAATATTTTGTAACTCTTAATATTAATTCAGCTCTGTTGAGTTGTTTTATCATGAAGAAGTGACATTAAGCAGAACACCAACTTTTTTGCACCATAAGCAAAGCCATAAATTACTCTGAAGGCAAATGGCATCAATGGTCTGTAGAAGAGAGCATTACTATTGCTATACATCTTTGTATTTTCAAAAGAAGGAAAGAATTAAAGAACAGAGAAAGAAAAGCAGGTGAGAAAATCACCAAACCTTTGCAAAAGAGCAACAAATGAAATTATTATCCAGGTGTAAGAAGCTGCAGGAGTGCAGTCTGAAGTTGAAGCCATTCCTGATACCCCCATGAATTGAAATGAATCTTAATCAGAACAATAGAAGAAAACGCGGTAATGGGAAGAATATAAAATGAGAATGTGTTGATCGGAGGATATTTTTTCTTTGCAATAAGGTTGGCATGTTATCTTCTTAAGGTATTTTTTTTCTCTGAATCCTATTTTCTATTGCTCTGTCACAGTGTTGGTRAATATGTAAATATTAGTTGCCTCTATTTCATTTCATGTAAAATACTGTTAACTCTATGCTGCAAAATACTGCAAGCTGGGGAACTGAAAACTAGGGCTGATATTCTATATTTTACATACCCTGTAGGCAACCTAAATACTTAAGAGAATGCTTTGAGAGCATTGTCAGTTTTAATTTTGTATTGCATAGCTTCTGACAGTTAGTTAAATATATACATGAATTATTTAAAAAACACTTATGTAGATATCTAAATAACAGCCTATTTCTAGATCTTCAGCTTACTGTTTCAACCTGTCTTTRTGTACAATGTTTTTCAAGGGTTTTTTGTAATATGGGATTTTCAGCTAAGGAAAGGGTGTAGACCGTTTATAATTTCCATACAACCCATCTTGGTCAATAAAAACAAAGACAAATTGCTGCATATTTTCCCGACACAGCACCAGGCAGAACTCCAAGTTCCATTTCTGTTCTTCCTCAATAGGAATGAGTGAGAAATTAGTGGGTTTAGTTTGATTTTTTTTTTTTTTTTAAAGACACCTTATATATATATATATATATATATATATATATATATATATATATAAGAGAATGGAATTTAACTCTATAATTTCTAAAACTATTTGACAAGAAAGTTCTTTGAAYAGAAGTAATTTTTTAAAGAAGAGACTCATGTTTTTAATATGTCAAAAGCAATTGATAAGGTCATGATGGATGTAGTTTTAACCACTAAAATTTTATTAAAATTAAATAATTGCAAGATTTTTACTGTTACAGAAATAGGAAAAACTTCTTTTACTTGCTCTCAATACTTAGTTTCGATTTATTTCCATTAATTCTTGTTACCTCAGAATGCATGTTGCTTTTACATGTTATTTATTCATATTCTGTAACTGTATCTTTTGGAGAAAGTGGCTCTCTGTTTTCTTCTGGTGAATTCAGGAATGTGGGTTCCCTTTGAATCCACTTCCCTTCACCTGCAGTGTGAAGRTTCACTCCTCCTGAGTGCACGGGGCCAAAGTGTGATGTTCTTCAGGCACAGTGCTCATGTAAGCTAGGTGAAATCAGAGACTTGTGTCTCTCAGATGTCTTGCGGATGTAACCTGGAATTCCACCATTTCAGATTCCTCTGCCAGGGCTGGGGCCTCAGCTGTGTCTGGCACAGCCAACACAACCTCCAGATCCTCTTCTGTTTTTTTCAGAACACCAAGAAGGGAAAAGCTGCAAGTCGTGACTGTGATTTGTATATTGGAACTGCAGATTTAACCTCAAGCATGCGTTGGTGGCAGAGCAATTTCTGCAATCATAAAGATGAAGGGAAAGGCCACTGGTCACAACCAGCCCTAAAAATGTGTTTTAGGCCTGTGCTGGACGACCCAGTGTGTGTGTAAGTACAAATCAACCCCAGAGTTTTCGCTGCATGTGGAAGCTAGATGATCCCACTATAGCCTTAGTTAATTAGCGACATGTTCATGGGAGAGGAACAGTGTGAGTAATTCTTTCCATTAGAAGAGACCTTGATAGACCTTCCTGTGGGAGTCATGAGMAGAAACTTCAACATTTGGCTTGATGTTAATAGTATGAAAGAAATATCATGGAGACATCACAAGCATCAGCAAAGCGAGGGAGGGGGCAAGGTCTCCAATATTTTGCAAGAGTGGTGATAGAAAAAAAAACACCCAAAACTAATTGAAATAACAAAACTCACAAGTGATTTGTAAAATACAGCCCCTAGTTACCAAAATGCCTAATTAATTTTCCTTATTAGGTTGCTCATAATATTCAAATATTACTTTCTCTAAAGTACCACTGTAGCAAACATTGACATAGCCTAGGTACATCTTCTACATAAGTAGGTTGCATTGGCTGGAGGAGTTGAATTTTGTTATCAACAGTGGAAAAAGAAAAAGTAATTGAAAAGGTTTCTTGTGGTTTGGAAATGCCTTCCAAATATTCATTAAACATTTAGGCGACTAAATTTGCAGAATATGTTCCTGACATTGGCACTAGTTCTGTGGTATTTCTCTCATCAGATGGAAGTACTGTGTGTTATTCAGAATGCATTCATGCATAAATAATATCATTTTCATAAATTAAAACCTCCCCTGCAGAAGGAACATCTGTGCCTGCCTTTGAATAAAAGATGGTGGCATGTGAGTTGCCCCTTGACTGACTAGAAGAATCTTTATATTTAAGAAGAAGGYGCATAACCAAAAAGGCAAGCAAGCCTGGGTCAGCTTTTTTCAATTTTATCCGAAAAATCGCCATTGATTTACCCTTCTCAGGTTATCTAGGGCACACCTAGCTGTATTGCCATTGACCGGGAAACGTTAATCGGGTGCTTGAAAAGTTGCCTTTTGCTTGCTTTCTTTTCAGATTCATCAACAGTTTTTGAGCTGCAGGCCCCAGCGAAACGCAGGGAGATGCTGCAAAATGCATCAGTTGGCATCACAATTAATTTTTAGCATGTTTTTAACGGGGAAGCCAGGCAGCAGGGGGTGCTGAACTGCTAGGACAGATTTGCCACGCTTAC